TAGAAGCCCGCAGAGGTGTTCTTAGGATTGTGTTCCCTCAGAAGGCTCTGGGGAGACACACCCTTTCTCTCTCCCAGTCCCTGGGGGCTGCTGGAAGTTCTTACTGTTTCAGTTTTGCAGTAGCATCAAGCCAGTCCCTGCCTCTGTCTCCACATGTCCTGCTCTCCTGTGTGTCTGGCTCTAAATTTTCCCTCTTCTTACAATTATGCCCTCCCTGATCCCATGTGACCCCGAGTTGGCTTGATTTCATCTGCGACGACCCTATTTCCAAGTAAGGTCCCATTTGCAGCTGGGGGTTAGGGTGTCAGCATGTCGTTTTGGGGAGACGCTGTTCAGCTCATAACAGATTGTGAGAAAAAAAGTTACAGCTTCTATTTTTGTTCATTTCTTTTTTAACCAAATGTCTTTGTTACTTTGTATGTTTTGTAATCATAATGCAGGCCTCCTTGCCTACACATTATAAGGAAATCTTACCCAGGGTTTGAGGGCTGTGCTCAGACTCGAGTGATGAGAATATACTCAAAAGATAAAGCAATCAGACCCCTGGTCTGACGCTGTCTTCCTCTATCTGGGCTGCTATCACAAAACACTGTAGCTTCAGTGACAGACATTTGTTTTCTCACAGTTCTCGAGACTGGGAAGTCCAAGATCAAGGGGCCAACTGTTTCCACTTCTGGCAAAGGACTCTCTTGTTGGCTTCCAGATTGCCACCTTCTCCTGCGTCCTCATTTGGCTGTCACGGGGGGCCGGGGAAGGGATGCTCTCTGGTGTTTCTTCTCTTTTAAATTTTATTTTATCTTTTTAATTTAATCTTATTTTTTTTTTTTTTGAGTTAGAGTCTCACTCTGTCGCCCAGACTGGAGTGTAGTGGCCGCTCCCGGCCACCGCAGCCTCGACCTGCTGGGCTCCGGCGATCCTTCCGCCTCAGCCTTCCGAGTAGCCGGAATTACAGGCATGCGCTACCACACCTGGCTGATTTTTTGATTGATTGTAGAGATGAGGTCTCGCTGCCCAGGCTGGTCTCGAACCCGCGGGCTCAGGCAATCCACTCATCTCAGCCTCCCAAAAGCGCGGGATGACAGGCTGAACCACCGAGCCTGGCTTTAATCTTATTTTTGAGTCAGTGTCTTACTCTGTTGCCCAGGCTGGAGTGCAGTGACATGGTCGCAGCTCACCCAACCTCAACCTCCCGGACTCAGGCGATCCTCCCACCTCAGCCTCCCGAGTAGCTGGGATTATAGGCACGTGCCACGACACCCAACTGATGTTTTGATTTTTTTTTATAGAGATAAGGTCTTGCTGTGTTGCCCAGGTTGGTCTCGAACTCCTGGGTTCAAGTCATCCTCCTTCCTTGGCCTCTGAAAGTGCTGGGATTACAGACATGAGCCACTGCACCCAGCCCTGTTGCTTCTTCTTAGAAGGACACGTATCCTTTCAGATTGAGGCTTCACTCCCATGACCTTGTTTAGCCTTACTCACCTCCATAAAGGCCTTATCTCCAGTAAGGTCACACTGGCAGCTGGGACTTTACCACGTACATTGAGGGCTGGGGGACCCGCCTTCTGGATTTTGATACACAGTGAGGTTCCCTGAATCAGCTCCCGTGAATTATGATGAAAATCTGTTTGTCAAGCAGATCTGTGTTCTCCACCGGCATGTATACAGTAGGCGATCGAGAGCTGCACATCTACTGAGTTCGGGCAAGGGGGGACTGTGGCCTTGGTGCCAGCTCTTCCCCCCCTCTACCTGTGTTCATCCCAGATGGGGAGAGAGGTGCGTGCCGCTGGGTCCTGTGGCTGTCCTGTCTGTCCAGGCTGCTGAATGCCCGGAGCAAAGCCAGCTTCCAGCAAGGTCTTTCTTCTTGGAGAGACGGGTCACCAGGAGCGTGAGCCTGGCGGTCACAGGAGGCCAGCGGGCATTCTCAGCCCACTTCTGACTGGCAGGGAGGCCTGGGACAAAATATCGGCTTTCTCTCCTGCAAAATGGGGCTGACAGCCGTGCCTCCCTGGGCTGTGGAGATGAGACCATGTGTCCTTACAACATCCGTGGTCCTGGATTGAGACAGGGGCCCGGACCAGGAGATGGAGTACCTCCCGGTACTCTGAAGCAGCTTTCCAGGCACTGAACACCGTTCTCACTCTCCGGCTGTGCAACCCTCATCAGGTTACTCCACCTCTCTGATTTTCCACTCTTTGCCACCTGCAAAGGTGATGTCTTTCTCCAAGTTGTGAAATCCACATAAAGTGACAACGAAATTGATTGTAAAAGACAGCACAAAGGTTGGTTGGTTGGTCATTATCATCAATAAGGTTGTATTGCTTTGGTTCCCCCCCCCCAGAGATGGATCTCACTGTGCTGCCCAGGCTGGTCTCAAAGTCCTGGCATCAAACGATCCTCCCACCTGGGCCTCCCAAAATGCAGAGATTATAGGCATGGGCCATTGTCCCCAACCCAGACTTTTATATATATGTATGTGTGTGTGTATGTGTGTGTGTGTGTATGTGTATGTTGTTTTTGTTTTGTTTTTAAGTAGTTACGGAGTCTCACTCTGTTGCCCAGGTGGGTCTCAAACTCCTGGCCTCAAGCAGTCCTCTAGCCTCAGCCTCTCAAAGTGCTGGGACTGCAGGTGTGAGCCACAGTGCCTGAACTGTTGTAGATTTTCAGACTGAAGGCTGGAGACGGGGCCAGGTGTGGCTTGGGCTAGCTGGAGCTCTTGAGTCACTTCTGAGTAGCCAGCCACCCCCACAGCATCCAGCAGGCGGCTAGAGTGTCATCCTTCCCCTGACATCTTTCCACAGGTGCCTGCTATTGTCTGCAGCGAGTCCTGGAGCCCTGGCTTGATTAAACCTCACAGATCCCTCCACATCCTGAAGCTTCCGGGGCCGTGGGTTCGTCTGGCTCCTGCTGTACTCAGTGCCTCTGCCCAGGTGCTGACACAGCCACACCAGGCTTGCTTTGCCCCAGTTTTTGGCATTGTGGCAGGTGGCAGTGCTGTGTGCTGGTGAGGGAGGTGTGTGGGGACAGAGGGAACCAGCCTCTCTGGAGGAGGGATTGGCAGGACTTCTTTGAGTTTATTGTGTGTGTACCCCCAGGCTCCGCAATCCCACTACTGGGAGTCTGTCTTCTAGAAACAGAGGGGGAACTTCCAAAGACATTTGTCCTACAGCGTTGCGAACATAGCAGGACCTCAAGGACCACCCAGCTGGTCCAGAGTCTCATGCCCAGCAGCCATGGAATCATGTGGGATGCTTGTGTCCTCCTTGGTGCCTCAGATCGAGAGGCACGCAGGGTTGGGCTGACCCATGACTGCTGGTTTTATCTCCTTGGCTTGCTCGGGGTGATGCCTTCCCGGTTTCTCTACCATAAAGATTCTGTTCTTTTCTTTATCATTTGTGACTTGTTGGGAGGAACTTTGGAGCTGTATAAGGGTCTTACTACTTGTTTCATCAAAACTAATGTTGGCATTCGTTAATAATTCTTGCCAGAAGCAGTTATCAGTATGGTGTTTGTCAGATCGTGTTTTTCTGTTTGCATTATTACCTCTCTTCTCTGTTTATCAACTAACATTTTACTGCAAGGAAGATCTTTCCTTTCTTCCACATTTAAAAGAATTTCATCGGCCGGGCTCGGGGACTCAGCCTGTAATCCCGGCACTTTGGGAAGCCGAGCTGAGTGGATTACCTGAGCCTGTAGGTTCAAGACTCACCTGGGCAACTTGGCGAGACCTCATCTCTACAATAAATCAATAATTGGCTGGACGTGGTAGCACGCACCTGTAGTTCCAGCTACTTGGAAGGCTGAGGCGGCGGGATGGCCGGGGTCTGGCAGGTTGAGGTTGCAGTGGCCAGGAGCGTGCCACTGCACTCCAGTCTGGGCGACAGAGTGAGACTCCATCTCAAAAGAATAAAGATAAAAAGAAAAGAAAAGAATTTCACCATTTTTACCAGTGTGGCTTCCCAGATTTTATACTATATTGTGTATAATCCATGACCCTAATGCATGTTTCGCTCAAGATTTCCTTAGACTGGCCATCGGGATGCATCTTGGGTCCCATGTCTTTCTGACACTTCCCCATCATTCCTCGAACACTGCCTTACTTTTTGGCATCCCAGGATACTCCAGAGTCATTGTGTATGTGGCCTCTTTCTGCTGTGGGGTCGGCCGTCCCTTCCGGGGTATTCCTGCCACACGTGTAACCCGAATTTAGTAAGGAGGAAATATTGGACAAACACACACTGAGCGACATTCTGCCCAGTAACTGGTCAGTGCTCTTCAAAAATCAAAGACAGGGAATGACCGAGGAATTATTCCAGGTTTATTTTTATTTTTATTTTAAAGATGCAGGGTACATCTCAGGGTTAAGAGACTCTAAGGGAGAGGGCCACTCCATGCATTGTGTGACTCTGTACTGAACGCTGAATTGGAAACAGACGCTACTGGTGAAATTTGAATTGGGTCTCCAGGTGAAGCAATGACCTTGTGCTCAAGTTAGTTTCTTGATACAAATCGATCATTGTTCTGTGGTTGTATGAGATGTTAATACTGGAAGCCTTAAGGCTAAATGAGAATTCTCTGTTTTTTAAACTCTTATTTAAGTGTAAAATTATTTCAAAATGAAAACTAAAAAAAAAGCCGGGGGGAGGAAGTAAAATACAAACCGCAAGATAGATGTATGTGAGAGAGGCTCAAAAAATCCCAGAATCATCTTTCGGAGGGCAGGCCTCTTGGAGTCCAGGCTTCCCTGCTAGGCAAGCGTTCCAGGAACCCATCGGCATCAGTGGACCAGCTAGTGTTGTTGAGAGAAGCTGTGTTCGGCTTCAATGAATTCTTTTTTGAGATTCTTTCAACACGTTTGACCATTTCGTGATTTGTGATTTACGAGGATCGCTCCCCCCACCGCACTGAGTGTTCCGTTTTCGACCAAAAACAGCATAACTCCCATGATGTGTTCTCTTTATTCGCCCAGGCTTGCCCCGAGCGACTTTTTTTTGTTTCCCCAGATGAAAAAAGTCCCGAAAGGGAAACAGCTCACCGATATGGAAGGGCTGAAACAAAAAAATGGCTGAAGCACCAAAAAGGCATCCAAACGGATAAGCTCAGAGACTGTTCTGAGCAGTGGAAAAAAGCATCTCGATAGTATTGCATCCAAGAGAGAGGATTTTGAAGGTGACTCACATTTAAATATGTAAGAATACACAATTTTTAATCAATAAATTCTGGTGTTTTTGTTTTTTTTTTTTTGAGGATGTTCCCCCTTGTATGTACCAACATGGAATGGGGTCATGGTCAATTCATTGAAAAAGACAATTGTGCTTTTTGTATAGAATTGGCTCATTTTTGCAAAAACAAGACAGTGATATATTCCGTGTGTGTGTGTGTGTGTGTGTGTGTGTGTGTGTGTGTGTGTGTGTGTGTCTATGTGTCTGTGCCTACACACAGAAGGGATTCTGAGAAAGGAAGCACTTCCTGCTAACAGACGCTTCTGGGAAATGTGACTGGAAGTCGTGAGAGTGGAGGCCCTTACTCTCATGTTTTGTCACGTGAAGAGCATGTCTTAATACCATAGTAAGACAGGCCGTGGGTGTGCTTGCGGCGTGCTGCACGTGGGCGTCGAGGCCTGAGCCTCCCATGCCGTCCTCTGCAGTGTTTTCCTACCGGGCCATGCTGGGCGGCGTTCCCCTCTACTGACCGTGCTCCTGCCTCTGACCCGTCACCGAACATGTGAGTTGTAGACACATAAGGCCTGTGGTCCATGCTGCTTGACTTGTCCTCCCTGTCACTGAGGAAACTGGAAGTGGTTCCCCGGAAAACTTGGGGTGGGGGGGAATCTTTGTTCCTGAGCTTATATCATTTTGGTGTTCCCAGAGGAGGGAGATTAAGAATTTGCTAAGTGACAAGCGGTGGTTGGTTAAGTGAGACTCTGTGTCTCTAAGCCCAATGAATGAGTGAGTGAATCGTCATCATTTTCTCCCAGGAATTGTTTTTCGGTTTGTTTTTGTTTTTTTTGAATTGGAGTGTCTCACTCAGTCGCCCACGCTGGAGTACAGTGGCACGCTCATGGCCACCGTGGCCTCAGCCTGCTGGGCTCGGGTGATCCTTCTGCCTTAGCATTCCAGGTAGCTGGAACTATAGGCGTGTGCCACCACGCCTGGCTAATTTTTTGATTTATTGTAGAGATGAGGTCTCACCAAGTTGTCCAGGCTGGTCTCGAACCCCTGAGCTCAAGCAATCCTCTCACCTCTGCCTCCCAAAGTGCTGGGATGACAGGCGTGAGCCACCGTGCCTGTCTTCTCCCAGGAATTGTTAATGGTCACCAGACTTTTGGAGTTAGTGTGAGATTTAGTAGAAGTGGGTTTATTTTTGTATAGGTTTGTTTTCAGGGCACACATGCCTTGATTTAAGAAGAGGGGTGTGAGAGCAGGTGACTTCTGAGTGAGGGCCTGCGGTGCACCCCGAGTTGTTTCAAATGCCAGCGAACATTACCTTTGGCTACTGTGTAACATTCTTCCTCTCTGTCTGTCTATCCAGCTAGCTGTCTATTATTTTTTGAGTTGGGGTCTCTGTCACCCAGGCTGGAGTGCAGTGGCACAATCACAGCTCACCGCAGCCTTTACCCCCTTGGGCTCAGGCAGTCCTTCTGCCTCAGCCTCCCAAGTAGCTGGGACTGCAGGCGTGTGCCACTACATCCGGCTATTTAAAAAAGTTTATTATAGAGACAAGGTCTCACTATGCGGCCCAGACTGGTCTCGAACTCCTGGACTCAAGTGATCCTCCCACCTTGGCCTCCCAGAGTGCTGGGATTATGAGCTACAGGGCCCAGCTGCATTCTTCCAAGTCATCACTGAGGAGGCTGGGGCAAAAAGGTACAACCCCCCCACCGCCCACTGCAAGGCTCTGGCAATTTCACTGAGTTCGCTCCAGAAAAGACGGTCCTCATCTCTCACTTGCTCCTTGCTCCTTTGGGGACTCGTTTTCTGACATGACCCCTGCAACCTCCTTAGCTGTCTAGGCTGCCCCAGCACCTTTCTGGTTCCCCGTTTGTCTTCTGGATGCCTCTGCTTTGACCTGGCCCGATGTCTCCCTAGATGCAACTCTAGTAACGATGATAATGGTGGTGATAATAAGTAAAAACAGACTTACGGGTGTATATTTATCGAGCTCTGACTATGCTGGACAAAGTGCTGAGCCCTTGCGGGCAGTGCGCCATTGTTCCTGCCAATCAGCTGGGCTGGTTATAGGGGCTCACTGCGGTCTGTGTCCAGGTCTGTCTAGAACCAGAGGCTAAGGTCGGTCTAACATATACTGTCACTTCATGGTTCACCCTGGATGTTTTAGCTCTTGTAGCAGGTCTTTGCAGACAACTGATCACTGTCAAATCCTTTTCCCCATAGAATTATAGCCTCCTATACCTAGACAGCATAAATATATGGTCAGACTGCCATGAATACACATCACTTTTTTATCAGTGATGTAATCAAGCTAATCGCAAAGCATCCAGATGTTAAGTTGCACTGCTCAAAAACATGTCAAGTGTTCGATAACTGCTTACATCATTTGCAGAAACATTTTTTTCGAGTTAAAGAGCAAGGGAAAGAAGGGAAACAAATTTAGTCTTTCAGCGAAAGTAATGATCTTCCAATAAGTATGATGAAACAATGATGTTTTCCAGATTTTTTTTTGAGTAGGAGTCTCACTCCGTCGCCCAGGCTGGAGTGCAGTGACACTCATGGCCACGGCAGCTTCTACCTGCAGGACTCGGGTAATCCTTCCGCCTCAGCCTTCTAAGTAGCTAGAACTGCAGGCGTGTGCCATGACGCCCGACTGTTTTGGATTTATTGTACAGATAAGGTCTCACCATGGTGCCCAGGCTGGTCTTGAACCCTGGGCTCAGGCAATCCTCTCGCCTCTGCTTCCTAAAGTACTGAGGTTAGAGGCGTGAGCCACTGTGCCCGTCATGTTTTATGATTAAAAATTATTTTAGCTACAGTCAGAAAAGCACCGCATAACAAAGTCTTTCTTTTAAATTGTTTACCACATCAAGGCCTATTCTCTGTGTCCTGCATGAAGCACAGGTAGCATTGTATAGAACTAGTTAATAGTCAGCTTTCTCTCATTCTTTCTGTCAGGCTTTCCTGTTAAATTGCACCCAGAGGGGAAACATTAATTGAACTGTAAAGCTTTTTTGTCTAAAGACGTTAAGAACACACAGATGGTATGAAACAAACCTTGAACCAGAGCTCTGTGATTTTTCAAAGTAGTTTGCTTGTTTTTTTTTTTTTTTTTTTGATAACAGGTCAACATGAGGTTTTGAGAAACACACTGTAGAACTTCCTGCCACTCGGTGAATCCGATACAAATGATGGCTGTGCCTGTCCTGACATATTTTTATGTGACTGTGGACCACGTGACGCTACGCTCGAAGACGAGTGGCCTCGTGGCACAGTCCCTGTGTTCAGTGTCTGAGATGACAAAGGGTCAACCACGTCGTTCCTGAGACAGAATGCAAAGTTTGTTTGGATTTTAAAATACGCAAGCGTTTTGCTGGGCGTTTCTCTCCACATTTCTCATTGATAAAATTCCTGACATAGGAAATAGATTTGAGTAAGACTTATAGCTCGATATGACATGATTTCAGAAAAGTCAAATTGATGTAAAAAGAGATAAATGTTTCCCAGGCGGGACAGCAAGACTCTTCTGTAAGACTGATAAGAACAGCTCTCCGGGGAAAGCTTCTGTGGCGGTACTGTGCACCACCGCACTGCCATGAGACTGACATGTGCCTTAAACTGTGCCCTGTCTCAATCCCACTTCCGTGGTAGTAGCTTTAGGGGTAGTGGTTTTATGGGGTACAACACTTGTTTCAATGACCTTCAAAGTTCAGTTTCAGGATGATGTTTCTCCCAGTTGTTAAAGCCCCTGGTGCTTTTATCGTTTTTTTTTTGAGTTGGAATCTCACTCTATCACCCAGGCTGGAGGGTGGTGGCATGCTCCTGGCCACCGCAGCCTCGACCTCCGGGGCTCCGGGGATCCTTCCGCTTTAGCCTTCCAAGTAGCCGGAACTATAGGCATGCGCTACCATGCCCGGCTAATGTTTGATTTACTGTAGAGACGAGGTCTCACCAAGTTGCCCAGGTGGGTCTCCAACCTGCGGGCTCAGGCAATCCACCTCACCTCGGCCTCCCAAAGTGCTGGGATGACAAACTGAGCCCAGTTTCAGTCTCTGAACTGTGAGGAAATAAGTATATTATTTACGTCACCCAATCTGTGGTATTCTGTCATGGTAACCCAAGCTGAGAAGCACAGAGACACTGAGTGTTAGGGGTGGAAGGCGGACTTCCATGATGGTTGTCTCCAAATAGTGGAGGCTGGGAGGAAGTCAGATAGGCTTTGTGTGACTCCGAAGATCATATGCAGGGTGGAGAGGCTGGAACAACGGGCAGACAGCAAGCAACTGAATGAAAGGAGAAAGGTGGGTAGATGGCTGGCTGGATGGGCAGATAGATAGATAGATAGATAGATAGATAGATAGATAGATAGACAGAGAGAATCACTAAATTGGGTTGGTACAGGGCTGGTTCCTGTATTCTGGCTTATGGTTGGCATGATGGGTCATGAAGGCAGGGTCGGCTGTGTTCCCATGGTCTACCCCTAGGTAGACAGATATATAGATAGATAGATGGTAGACAGACAGATAAAGGATAGGTTGATAGATAGATGACAGATAGTTAGATGATAGACAGCTGATAGAGAGGTAGATGACCAATAGATGACAGACAGAGAAAATATTTGAAAGATAGAGTTAGGTAGGTAGATGATAATAATTGATAAATGATAGATAATGATGGTTAGACATGATAGAATATAGATGATAGGCAGAGATAACGATAGACAGACAGACGGATGGATTATAGCTGGATAGATGGATGGATGAGCTGCCTCTGATCAGCGCCATGCCGGTCCTACTGGAGGACAAGGCTAGAGGGAGCCGTCTGTTGCTCTGTCCCCGCCGAGGTTCCTGTTGACCTTGAGATCTGTGAGTCACGATGCATCATTCCTCTGTCCCGCCTCTGTAGTGCACGCTGCTTTCCCAGGCATTTGGTAGGCACCTTATCTCCTCCGAGTTAGGTCACAGCATCAGCCCCGAGGCTTCATAGGAGTTTGCC